CAGGGAGCTATTTCTGTTTGCTTTTGATTGATACGATTCTTTCTGAAGTCTTGGCTTGCTGGGAAACTAATTGAAATATTGATATGTAGAAATAACTCCTGTAGCTAGAAATTACTGGTTTTCTGCTCAGTTTAAAAACAGTTGACAGTGATAACGGCATACCTTGTTTTACAGCTCATACTTTTGGATCCTGGAATGATTTTTTGATACTAATGGAGACTTAGAAGTAGTAAAATCTCCCAACTATCTGAAAGAAACCATGGACTGATTTTACTGCTGTTTTTAAATACAAGAGCATGTACATGAGAAAAAGCAGACTTTATATTTGTCTGCTTGCTGTTTGTGTCATCAAAGGGGCATGGCTAGAAGCAAAAGGTAGAGAAGGAAAGAGACGGTAAAGAAAGTATTTCAGACTTAACTTATCAAAACGTCTGTTCTGTACATATTAACTACTGTTCTGTAACTGCATGTACTACTTGAACTCCTCTTGAATTTTTGATTCAGCTTCTCTTTTTCCCTCTTCACATTGTCTTTTCCAGAAATTTTGCTGTTGTTCAGAATTCTAGAAATTCACTCTTTGAAAGAGGAAACTATGACTGGAATAGTAAATTTAACTGGCAGTACTGGTGTTCTGCTATGTAGTAGTGCTGTTCTTTTGAAAATAACTAGTCTTTAATCATAAATAGATTATTTTAAACTGATTTTTTCAAAACTGATTTTAATAGTGCAACATTTTTCACCATTTCAAAGAGTGTTTCTTAAAACTTTGTTCCCAGTTCCAATTAGATATTTTTAAAAAGAAACCTTTTCTGCTTTCTACTATCTACTGTAGAGACTTAGCTAACATGCTCTTACTGACTTTCTTCATGCTGCTTTTAAAGTTTAATATTTGTAGGCAGCTGTCTAAATGACTAATGCAGTAGCTGTGAGTTCTATATGATGCATTTTTCTGTATTTAAAGGGTTGTTCCCGTTTAGATTTAAGAGGAATCTAAGGCTGTCTACTTTAGGACTATTTGAATTATATAAATCTGTACTTAATTTTAGCTCCAAATTGTTTTCCCACTGACTTTTCTTACTGTAGAAAAATAGACATTATTAATAGAAATTCAAAAGTTATTACTTTCTTGGGGAAGTTAGGGTATATTAATTGGAACATGAAAACATAAGCATCATAAGCACATTCAAATTTTTAGACAAGCTTTCATCATTAAACCATAAAAAAAAGTCTATTTTCTGCAGTATTTTCCTTCCTGAGAGTCTTAAATATTTGACTGGGGTGTGTGTTATATAAATAACAACCTTTAAACCAACCATGTCATGGGTCCAACCCCTTGACTTCAGTGCAGAATCTTCATTATCAAGGAGAGGAGTTATCTCAAGTCTTTCACAGTTACGTGCATAGTGCTGCAACAAAAGCATGAAATGATTATTGGATTAATTAATGTTTTAAACGTAATCTTTTAAATGAAATCTCAAAAGGTAAAAAATCACACTTGGCTAGGAATCCCAGATACTAGATTTAGAATTTGACCTTTGTCTCTTAAGCAGGACTTTTAAAGCATAGGCAACTTGCTTTCTGACATTCAGAAGGAAAGCTCTTAGACGTGATGTGTTATGTCTATTGTTTGATTGTGGGTATGTTTTCAGAGTAGCTAGAGGCATAACACTGTACTGCAGTTCAGTCAAAAAAAATAAACCCGTCAGACTCCAATAAGCACTTGTTTATTTGCTTCTATTTGTACCACGGGCGAGGAACCTGTTAGGTTAAACTCAGTACAAAAAAAGAACATTGTTAATGGTAGATGTGGGAGGGGGAGGGGGGCAGGAAGGAAGTTGTAGGTTTGAGTTTGGTTGGAGTGTTCTTTTAGTATGTTGCATTTTTTTTCTTTTTCTCTCTAGAGTAACTTAGTTACTTAGTTAACTCTTAATAATTTAAGTAAGTTTCACATGACTGAAAATAGCTGTATTGGGGCTAGGCTTGTTTTTTTTTGTCGTGGCAGCGATGTAGTCCCATGTAGTCTGCCTAAAGCAGAGGGCACTTTCTGAATGATGGACCTTTTATCAGTTGTTGAAGGCAAAATGTAAATAAAATCCAGCACAGATTGGAGTACCACACAATTGCAAACAAGAAAATCCTACTCCACAGTTAGGGCTTGCAAATGATAAAGAGACATTGCTTCTCCACGAGGCGGACATGACTCATTGTTCCCTTTCCCACTCCAGCATGCCTGCAAAGGATTGGCAGCATCCAGCCTTGAAAATCTAAGCAGAAAAGGGGCGGGATTTCACTCTTTTAAATAATGTCAGAGATTGAAAAGCTCTATGTGGGTTCCAGAAGGCTGATAGCCAACCTTCTTGCTCACCCTATGACCAAGGTGCAGTTGGTTCAAACCCACAAAACGCCATATATAGAAAAATAGGTTACAAGGAGATGGTGCCTGCAGACACTGGTGCCTCCTAATATCTCCCCTGTGTTTTGGAATAGCCTGATAATGGGGACTGAGGCAGTCTTTCAGCAGAATTATGTTGACTTCAGTCCCTTCATAGATAGTCAGATTATCCAGATTTTTTCCCAGTTACCAGGATTTTTTTTTTTTTTTTTTTTCCAGATCCCAACCCTACAGCTCTTGGTCACAAGAGTCTGGCAGGGAAAATGCATTTGAACTGTTCTAAAGAGTTTTCAGCACTAAAGAACCACAGTTTGACTATCTATGAGTTAAGAGAGGGCTATAAAGAGATGAACAATTAAAAGATTTAGCTTATTTTCTTTTTTAAGATGACATTAAAATCTCTGAGATTATCTTAATGTTCAGCTGCAACTGCTGCTTTAAATGTGGAAACAGTTGATAAATTTGCTGGATAGTATTGTGGGAAAAAAGTGTTAATTGCTTTGTTGGAATTATAGGATAGTTAGGTGTCATTTTGTTTGTTGGACAAATCTGGCAATCCTGTATTTTTCAACCTGGTTTGGTCAGTCTATTCCCATCTGCACTTAAAATCTTTCTGATACTGAAACACTTAAGCAGAAGAGCAATAGAAGCATAGAAGGGAACATTACTCAAGATTGTTTGTGGTACCACATAAACGGGGGGGGGGGGAGAAGAAAGCTTAGAAAAAAAATCCAAAATCCGGTAATGATGTATTTTACGTAACCTGGGGATAGGAAGGAGAGAATTACAGACCGACATTTTTGCAGTTCAGAGTGACTGAAGGAAAGAATTCTGAGATACAATGAGGGTTTAGTCAAATTTTTTCACTCTCCAAGGTTAATGCTCCCTTGAATAAAAACCAAAACAAAACAAAAAAAAACCCAATAAACAATCAAAACTGTATAATTTTTCCTGGCCATTGCTGTTCTATGGTCAGGATCTCATGAAAAATTCTAGTTGGAAGTCACCATGCAATGCCATTCCACTTTCATCTGTTTAAATCTGAAATAGTCCAATCAGACTAACTCAAAGTAGCCCTTGGGATTCAGGAATTCTCCGTAAGTTCTCAGCTGGATATCTAAAATTTATTTATTCAAGGACAAATCTCCGCCATGGAACAGGTTGCCCAGATAATACACTATCCCTGAGAATGTTCAAGGTCAGGCTAGATGGGGCTCTGAAGATTCGGATCTAGTTGAAGATGTCCCTACTCATTGCAGAGTAGGTGGACTAGATGACTTTTAAAGGTCTCTTCCAACCCAGATTCTCTGTGATATGTAGCTTGGTGTTTTCACTGGGGTGAAAAAGGCCTGTTCACTCAATGAACCCCACCAGTACTTATTAAATGGTTAAGTTATTTGTACTCTAAGAAGAACAGTTATCATCTATTGGTCAAATACACAGCTAAATTACTTGGTTGTTTTGGAGGGGTTTGATGTGTGGGAGTTCATTAAAAAAACAACAACAACAACAAAAAACTTTTCTTAACAAATATTTAAGTCAACTGATAAAGGTACATAAGCTATGAATGCAGGATGATATGCACATATAATACTATATTTTTGTTATTTTTGTTACATAATAAAGGAAGACTTCATAACAGAATTTGCCATACAAATGAAGTTTCTCTGAAAACCTCCAGAAATGTATGCTGTGAAAATTTTTCCTTAGGATGCACTTATGCTTCTATTTCTTTTTCTTTACAGGGTAAAGAAATTGAAAGAGACCCTTGTAGCAGTGCAGCAGCTGGATAAAAACATGAGTAGCCTGAGGTCTTGGCTTGCCCACATTGAATCAGAGCTGTCCAAACCTATCGTCTATGAAACCTGCGACTCTGAGGAGATACAAAGGAAGCTAAATGAACAGCAGGTAAAATACGACACACTTATCAGGTGAAAAATGACATGGGGGAGAGCTCAATGCTGAGAGGGCATGAGGCAAAGTACTTAAATATCAAGGCAAGTGGTACTTACTATGTCAATTATAGAGCCTTCTGCGGGCTTTGACATCGAATTCTCCAGGAGCTGATTGAGATTTCCAAGAAAGGTAAGGCACCAAGAGATGTAACCTGAGCGAGTTATGGCAATTGTTTTTCCTTTGGGGCTTGTGGTTTTTGTTTGTTTGAATTTTCTGTTCCCAGAGGCAAAACTGACACCTATTAGACCTTGCAAATTTTGCACATGCTTGAAAATTACTATTTTTAGTAGCCTAACTCAGTTTTATTTTGCAGCTTGTTTGAGAATCATTTTGCATGCAAAGATGCATGAGCTATACATGTGAAGTTAAAATCGGTTGCTTTATAGTACACAAAGCCTTTATGCAGTGCTAGAATAAAATGTACAGAAAAATATGAAGTCAACCAGTTTTTGGCATTGAAACTAATGTTACTTCTAAGATGATTTACTCTACTTTCTCCTTCTTGTTTCACTTTACTGTCCAGTGCAGTTTTACATAGAAACGCACTGCTGGAGAGAACTGTTGTTCTGTTGTGTTCCTGTTGGTTATTTATGGTTATTTATTGGCAAAATTACTTTTCTGGTGCCTCACTGGAGATGAGTTAGGTCCTCTCCTGAATTTCTTCTCCAGAGGAGAAGGAAATGTGTGGGAAGAGGAGAGACAGGATATTTTGGGGATAATTAATTTATCAAGAGTACAAACTGCCATTTTGCACTTTTAAACTGAGTGTGGAACTGAGAGTCAAGAACCCCCTCAGTGTTTTGCCAGCTCCCTGACTGATTTACTACATGGCTGTGCAGAATTGCTTATGTATGTTGTATATGGAATTTACATAGGGATAATAATTTATAACATACAAGCATCAGTAATGAGTGGTGTTTCTGAGACAATAAAGAGCTGGGAAGGACTAAACATTGCTATCAACAAAGAGGATACCTGAGTTTTTTTGCTAGCATCCCTATGCAGGCATCCCATAGTTTGTTAAAACCACTTCTTATGGTACTTCTTTTTGGGCACAGAGACTGGTATATCTCTGCCTTTCACTATTTCCTTGTGGTGACAGCATGCCGTGATATTCTTAAGAAGTGAGAATAGTTTAATTTGAATTCTAAATGGGAGAAATAGCAGTGAATCTTATCCTAGGAGGATGCCATATTTGGAAATTTGATGATTTGGTAATAACACTACAAGCCATAGTTATAATAATAATAATTTTAAAAACTCTTCAATGTATGGCAACCAGTATTTTTATTACTCAGAAACTATATCACTATCCACCATATCTCAGAAGGCCACTTTCTCTTTTTGTTCCCTCTTTCTTCTTCTGTTAGTGATCTTATATTCTTTTTCATGTTTAGTCTTCCACTGAGGTCATGTTGTCTCCCAGTTGTTCATATGAAAAACTAGGTTAAAAAATATTATATTGTAAAAGAGGAGTGCCAAATTCCATTTATGTAACTCCATTATCTAGTTCTCAGCATTTGCTTCAGCCAAGCATCAGCCTTGCAGATTGCTGGTCTCTAATGAAATTAAAAATACAGTTGAATCTGGATATCCTGGGGAAGGCAGGATCACTTCAATGCTGTATTTTCCTAGGGTCACAAACTCAATTTTAAGGATTACTTGTTTTATTATTTTCCCAATTTGCCACCATTTCAAATGTGAAAAAATGGTGTTTGCTTCTGGATAAATGAAGTTAAAAAAAAAGTTGTGTGTGGGTGACAGCAGTGCATAAAAGTGATGCTCCTTTGTTAACTAACCCAAAGGTTTAATCTTCTCTAATAAACATAGAAAGTTTTGAAATAAATGTAAAGGTTCTGTTGGTGAATAAAAAAAAGTTTAATCTTTAGGAATGCTCAGGACCCACAGCTGGCAGTTCTCAGTACTGCTCTACTCCAAAACATCGGAGAGGAGATTGTGTTACCTGATCCTACTTAACCTCAAGTCTCATAGATGTCTGGAGTGTGTGTTTCATAAAGTATTACATCTGATTATAGTATCCACCCTTCTATAATGTTTCAGGGTGGATAGAAAGAAGAATAAGCACTTTGACTTAACAATAGAAGTATTTTTCAGGCAAGTGAAAGTGAAAGGCCATCCCTGAGACAGAAAACGTGATTTTCCGCTTGGCGGTCTCATGTACTTGTTTACACAATAGCTTTCCATTTCATAGATGAGAAGATGTGTTGCAGTTTGTGTGGTTTCTAGAGGGTCTCTCCCGGCCGCTCTGTGAAGGTTTCCAGGGCTGAGATCACCCCCACCCCCCGCTGCCCGTCCCTCATGGCATAGACAGGCAGCGGAGGCACCTATGCCAGGAGACAGACACCGTGCAGCATGCAGGGAGTCCAGCAGCAAAGAGACTTTATTCAAACCTCCCCCCAGCTTATATAAGGGCTGGTGGGGAAAAGAGGGGATTGGCCATTTAGATAGCCAGTACAAGGAGACAATATAATAACTATGGCAACACAGGAACCAATGATAGACAAGTGAGTTATCAACTTCAAACCCCTGCAAAGATAAAAAAATTACTTCACTGAATGCAAACCCAGTTATAACAAATAACTAAATCAAACAGTTGATATAGGTCAACCTTGCTCCATTTCAGATTTCCTGAGGTTTTTACATTCAACATTTGCATCTCATTTGCTGCTGGAAAGCATTTTCAGATCATGTTGCTGGTTGTAAGATAAGTTCTTCAAGTTAGGCCTTAAATGTGTGTAGACACAATATGTTGACACTGTATTTCCCTTTGCATGTCATAGTTTACTTTCATTGTAAAGAGAAATTTGTCTCTATTCATCCTCAATCTGCCAAGTTCTTGTTCTCCGAAATAAACTTCCACATCTTTAGTTGTCCTAATAGTTCATTTCTTCACCTGAATCAGAAGTGAGCATAGTATTCTAGATGCAATATAGCACTTTCTGACATAGTTTTCATTAGTATTTCTTTGTTACTCTTGGAATTGTGTTGTCTTGGCTTTCTTAATGTCTATAATGATTATTTCCATCTAATATTCTTACGACTCATTGCAAATGTAGACAGAAGTCAAGCAGAGTTTCTTTTCATTGCACTGATCCAACAGCAACAGCCAATGAGTTTTGTGGCTTGTCTCAACATGAATCTGGAGTTCAAAACTGAAGTTGAAATATTACTTTGAGATGAAGAATTATCATGAGTGTAGAACAAACCATTGCAACCAAGAAAGCAACAGGATAAATAGTAGTGATCACATATAGTAAGTGCTAAAACAGTGTGAGTGCATTTTCTTTAGGTGTCTGGAATTTTCCTTTTCCATTTCCAATGAAAATGCTACAAAACTGGAGAGCTGAAGGAAGAAAAATCTCCTACTACGCATGCCCTGTGCAACACATGCTGCTGCTGGTCTCCATGTCAAACATGCCATTTTGCACTTAGCTCACTTGGGGAAGAGTAGGTTCACGAAGAATCCCTCACATATTTTCTTCTCACACTTATCTTACTAACTTCTGCTTTACATTCTCTGTGATAATGGGAAAGGGCTGGCAATAATTCTACCATTTATTGGTGATGTTGATGAAATGTGTGTGAAAGGTGCTCAGCTGAGCATGCAGAGCTCTGGCAGTTTGTCCCAGTTAATGGTTTGGTGTTCATACTCCCTTGGGAGAGCTGTGCATGCTGCCAGATTCTCCTGGCCTAATTGATAACATTGCAACACCACTTGCATAGTCTCTTAATTGTTATTTACCAGATATTTTTCTTCTGTTTGCAAGCTTTTTCCTCTTTTTTAAATAAGTAGAAGAGAAATGCGTTTATGTATGTTTTGCAATTTTCTCTGAAGAACTAATTTCTTCACCTGCAGGAACTTCAGAGGGACATAGAGAAACACAGCACTGGAGTGGCATCTGTTCTCAATCTGTGTGAAGTACTTCTTCATGACTGTGATGCTTGTGCCACAGAAGCAGAGTGTGACTCTATCCAGCAGGCTACACGCAATCTGGACAGAAGATGGAGGAACATTTGTGCAATGTCAATGGAAAGGCGACTTAAGTAAGTCTAAAATGCCTACAAATTAGTAATTCGTTCCACAGGGAGAAATACAGGGTAGTATGTATGTTATATGGTTGTAGTACTGAATAAAAAAGCATAGAGGTCAGTAAAAGATCATATAGACTAAAGAAAAAACAATAGCTTCTATGATGGAGGGGTGGGGGAGAACCCCAAAATTTTGGATTGTGCATGCATTTGTACAGGGTACAGATAAAAATCATCAAATGTCTCTCACAAGTTCTTTGCTATGATGATGTGACATTTCCCATGCTTCATAGGAATGAGAGAGAAACTAGAGAGAGCTTAGATGATAGCAGGAATTCCAAGAGATTCAGAAAATGTGATCTAAAAGGGAGTCTGTAACACGTAAGATTACCCTAGAACTACTGAGATTGATGGGGAAACTAGTTATCAAATGGGTGGAATGTTATTCCAGGCATTAGAGGTTTCATGTACCTAATGTTCCTCAACAGTTTCTGTTACGTCTGGTTTCGTTTATTTGGAAGAAATCTGGGACTGATTACTCATATGGAGTTTCCTCACCTGCCCACCTTAGCTGTGCTGAGCAAGTGAGGACCATAGCACTGGTTTACTGCACATCTTAGACCATTTGTAGGCTGCATGCCATCATATCCAGAAGATTCAGTATTCTCTATTCCCATATCAGATAGCATGGGTGATTTCAACAGCAATAATGATGTAGGCTAGATTGGGCCAATGCTATGGACTGTTTGCTGACTAGTAATAACACATGCTTACAGGTTTAAGCTCCTGTATTAATTATCATTGTAAATTATTAATCTTATTTCTTTGATGTTTGCATAGTTATATAAACTACTCTAGGTAGAATTTATGAGTTTTCAAAATACTGCATTAAGCTTTTTATGATCTTTGGTTTTGTGGAGTATTCTTAAGGTATTTAGTAAATTTTTTCTTTATTTTATGCAAAACATTAATTGCTTTTAAGGTGTGTTGCTTTATAGCCATAGATTGATATCTTTAAGTCATTTTATACTATTGCCATGACAGTTCTTGTATAGAATATATATATAGATACAGCTTATAAGTTCTATCTTTGAATCTATATGAGCTCTTCATACCTTTGTGTCCAACAAATCAATTCAGAACTATTTTAAGTTCATATGGAACAATGCATTGAACTTTATTTTACCTTCTTACAATGTACACATTATGCTTTAGCAGATTTGTACTGAGCTCTCAGTATTTAGGATCTGTTTTGTCCTAGAAATAATTATTCACATTAAAAAGCAACTTTCCAGAGGTCAAACTTCCATTTAAACAACATATCATCAATAAAGCATAAATTTTGCGTAGATCAGGTGCTTTTTAGTCCTGCATGTCTAAGGTTTGGGAAATATGTATTTTTTATGTTCTGCTGTGACATAACCTGTCCCAAAAAGGATTCTGTTATTTTAAATCAAGTGATGCTGAACTTCTTGGCATTTTACAGTCTCAGTATTAAACCCATTTGATTTCATTGTCAAGTGTTTGCCACTGTTTTTACATATTCCCTTGAAGTCAAATCAGGTTTTTTTAAACATGAACTTTTGGGGTTTTTAAAATAACAATATGTTTACAGTGTATATTGAGAGAAAGCATTTTACCACTAGTTGGTGAAAAAAAAAAAAAATTATATCCCTTTGCAATGCATTATAATGATAGCTTTAAAATATATGCTGCAACTTCTTTGGCATTCTTTATGAAAATTTCTGCAGTTGAAGGTATTGTGGAATTTCTGATCTCTAAAATACTGGCTTAGGTACCTACAATGGGACTGTGTTTCAGAAGGTATTTAACATGGTCTCAGTTTTTAGAGCTCCTATTACAAACATAACTTTTTTTACACTGATTCCAAAATTAGCTGCACTGGAAAAAAAAAAAATGCCCTCATCTTATTCTAGCTGTCTGGAATGAGACAGCCTTCTCTGTGGTCTGTTTATAGCCTGGGTGTCTGACTATTAGATTAATAGTCAGTTACTGTCTGATGCAGCATTAGTTTGCTGTTGTAGATGACCAGTTAAAGTTCTGTAGGTCAGCTGTCCATCAATCCAAGTGTTCCCTAATTTTCCATTATCTGTTGCAGAATTGAAGAGACCTGGAGGCTATGGCAAAAATTTTTGGATGACTACTCTAGATTTGAAGACTGGCTGAAAGTCTCTGAGAGGACAGCTGCTTTCCCAAGCTCCTCTGGTGTGCTTTACACTGTTGCTAAGGAAGAACTGAAGAAATTTGAGGTGATTTATAATGGTTGAAATTTAATACCCACTGATCCCATTACAGCAGCCAGCTGATGTTCTTCCTTCCCATAACCAAGTCACTCAGCAGAGACACTGTATTAATATAGTGGAGTTGATGACTTTGTAGCTACCTTCAGCATCAGGTTTCTAGGATGAAAAAACAGTGAAAGGTGACAACTGGAAATGCTAATAAATCAGTTGACTCTCCCTTACTGTTTGTTCAGCAAAGCTAGATTTCTCACCTTTTTTATTTCTGCGACTTTTTAATGTGTCCAGACAGTAGGTGCTCCAAAGCCTTCATAAATCTTCCTTCACCAAATACCTCTTCAAATGCATGCTGCGTGTTTTATCTTTTGCTTTGACTTTATCCCCCTCTTCTTTCTATAACTCTCTGAACTTTTTTTGTATAATGCACAGTATCCCCCGTTTAGAGCTTCACACCTGAAATTTACGTTCATGCAAATACTGTTACATGTCCACATGGTGTCCCCCTGTGACTTAAAAGTGCATGCTTCAAAACTGACAATCTGCCACTTTGGTCAGTGCTCAGGAGCTTGTTACATAGCTCGGTTGCGTTTATTATGTTGTGATGGTTTGTCTCATAATCCCAGGGGATTGTATACCTGTGTGTAAAGCACACGTCATATGGCTAGTCACAGGTGAAAATCATTTGCTTGGATTCATATTTGCAAAGAGTATATCAAGATGAGAGAAAAAATAATCCTGTAGAAGGAGGACAGGTTATTTAGGCAATTCTATAAACAGTCGGGTGCTGTAAAGTATTTGCTGTGAAGAAGAAATGCAAATTTTTAAACAATGTCTAAGACCAGTTAATACTTTTTGGTTTTAACAATTAAATCAAAAACGTAAACTGTGAAGTGCTGATTTGAGTTTTGTAATTGTCATTCACATTTCTGAATTTACTGGTCAGGTTTTGTTGTTAAACAGACTTCATTATGGGGAGTTAGATTACTATAGTATTGACACGTTTGCTTCCTGGACACAAGTACTGTGCCTCAGACCTCTTTCCCTTTGTCCCTTCATTGAGTGATCAGGATATAAATCTCTTGTTTAGCAAGTCTCTGTTTGAAAAGCAGTACCAAAAGTATATTGACTCTTTGTTTTTCACAGCTGATCTGACTTTGCCCAAAGTCTGTTTGGTGACTGTCATGGTGACCTTTCCTATCCAGCAGAATTGTGGATGTTTTTGCTGTCAGCAGGAACTAGATGTGAAGAGAAGAATGTAACCTCTCCATAAGCCTGCTTTCCATGTAGTCTGGTTCTTTCTCTTTTTTCCTTCCTTTTTTTTTTACCTGAGCACCTACTTTCTGTGCTTACCAAATACCAGGAATGCAAGCTAGAAAACTGTTGTTTTCAAATGCGGCAGAATTCAGTGACTTCATTGTGAAGTCAGTATAGTCAGCCATTTAAAGACACTAACAAAAGCATGTTTCTGCTTTAAGCAGGCTTTTTTCCTAATTCCGTTTTCCTCTCCATATCTGCACTTCAATTTAAAAAAAAACCCAACAACACACTAACAAAAAAAGGTCATCAGACTGTATAAGAGCCTTTCAGTTCCTGAGCACAGAGGTCAGAAATGGCTGTCACTGTACAAAGTCAAACTCCTTTCTCTCCAGTAGGTTATGAAGAAATGAAAAGAGGTTAAAGGAAGGAATGCAGCAGATGAATTCTTGTGTAGCTGAGATGAAAAAATGAAAAGCAAATAAGCAGCTGTTCTTTTGCTGAAGGAGGCTTGGTAACAGGTGAAACAACAACTGCACACTTTTAAATTTCATGATCCTAGTAAATACAGTTAGATTTGTGCCTCTAATATAGAAATCCTTGTGCAGTTTTAAATTAATTCAGTTCTACAGAGCATTTCACTCCAATTGCAAGTTCATTTACTCCTTTTTGGCCGTCGCCTACCCCGTTTGATGACCATTTAATGAACTCTACAAACTAATCTTTTTTCCAGCCAGTGTGGTGTGGCTGGGTGTGAAGGTGCTAATGCCTCCCCAAGGGGAGTTATCACAGCTGAGTCACTAGTGTGAAGACAAAGACACACAATTCACAGAGTTCTTTAATATGCAGCTTGTATCCTGAGGTGTCAGGTGTGCCCTGGGCAGCTGCTGCAAATGATCCATTATTAACAGTCCGTCAGAAATCACATAGAGTGTGTAGAATACAGTTTTGCTTATGCCCGCATACTGATAAACTGGTCTTGGCCCCTCTAACTAGGATGAATTGCTAGTCACAACATGAAACTCATGGGCTAAATCATCTATGCATGACAGGCTCTTAAAATACCACCTAAAGTAGATGATGCCAACATTTGCCCAGACATAATTTGGCATGAACATTTATGAAATTTTCTTTCCGTTAATATTTTAAGACAAAACTTATTTCACAGAATCATAGAATATGCTGAGTTGGAAAGGACACACGAGGATCATCGAGTCCAACTCCTGGCCCTGCGCAGGACCATCCCAGAGAGTCACACCATGTACCCAAGAATCTCATCCGAACACTTCTTGAACTTTGTCAGGCTTGATGCTATGACCTCTTCCCTGGGGAGCCTGTTTCAGTATCCAGCCACCCTCTGGGTGAAGAACCTTGTTTGTAATATCCAACCTAAACCTCCCCTGACACAACTTCAGGCCATTCCCTCAGGTTCTGTCACTGGTCACCACAGAGAAGAGATCAGTGCCTGCCACTGCTCTTCACCTCATGAGAAAGTTGTAGACTGCAATGAGATCTCCCCTCAGTCTTTTCTTCTCCAGGTTCTGAACAGACCAAGTGACCTCCGTCACTCCTCGTAGGGCTTCCCCTCAAGGCCCTTCACATCTTTGTTGCCCTCCTTTGGACACTCTCTAAGAGTTTAATATCTTTCTTATATTGTAGTGCCCAAACCTGCACACAGAACTCAAGCTGAGGCCACCCCAGTGCAGAGCAGAGCAGGACAATCCTCTTCCTTGCTGGCTGGTGATGCTTTGCTTGATGCCCCCCAGGACACGGTTGGCCCTCCTGGCTGCCAGGGCACTGCTGACTTATATTCAACTTGTCATTGACAGGATCCCCAGGTCCCTCTTCCATGACACTGCTTTCCAGCATCTCATTACTCAGTCTGTATATACATCCAGGGTTGTCCCATTCCAGATGCAGAATCTGGCACTTCCCCATATTGAATTTATGTACCAGTATACTAAAGATAAAGAGATGATTCATTCAACACAATTTTTCAATATTTTTGGTAAAATGCAGAATAAACAATTGCTCAAATCTCTTCAATGTTTACATGTCAGTAAATTCAATATGTGTAAAGAAATCCAGTGAAGCCACAGGAATCTTGGACTTCTCTTCCTTTTTGTAGAAAAGAAGTGTCATGTTCATTGTTTGTATTTCTGTTTTCAAATTCAAAGGCATTTGAATAGAAAGAAGGGGGGGTTTTGTGCCTATTTTGCCTTTGTAATGGATATTCATGTTGTAATTTCTCATTCGGTGAACTATGTCAGCTCTATAAACTTTTTTTCTGTTTGGGTTTCTTTGGTTTGTTGGCGTTTGAATTTTTTTGAGGGTTTTTTTTGCCAACTTTATCAACTAGGCAGAAGGCAGTATCTCTATAAGGTAGGCCTCCGGACATGTCTGCAACTAGTGCAATTTATCAGCTTTACAAAGATCAGATTGTAGAATTAGGGTCAAAATAAAGCAAGAGACCTATATATGTACCCTGATTTCAGTAATTAAAATCTGATAGTGTCTTTTGTTCATATTGCTTTAGGCCTTCCAGAGGCAAGTGCATGAAAGTCTGACTCAGCTGGAGCTGATCAACAAACAGTATCGACGCCTGGCCCGAGAGAACCGCACTGACTCTGACTGCAGCCTCAAACAGATGGTTCATGAGGGGAACCAGAGATGGGACAATTTGCAAAAGCGAGTTACCTCCATCCTGCGCAGGCTAAAAGTATTTTTCCATTTTTAAGATTTCCATTTCACTACTGTAGGTTATGAATCAAGGGTACTTCAGAAGCTTTCAGTTTAATGCATCTGCAGTCAGAGTGATTTTGAGGGGATTTCTACTTTTGGAAGAGTACGGAAGTTTATCAGTTCACTTTGCCTGGAGTAACCAAAGCATAGTGTGTAGGGAAATGATTTGTGACCTGAAATACCACCTTCTTCACAGAAGATGACTTTCATAGGTCAGCTAATTGCAGCTGAAGATGATGTTACTGAAAAGGGAACCTAAGAAAGCATGTAGGAAATAAAAGATGGTGTACTGAGTTTAAATTAGGCTTGATGGGGACAAAAGCCATTTCCCCACTATTGCTGGGGGGTTTTGTGTTGTTTGGTCATTTCATGCTGTTCCATTTTCCACCCTCCAGCATTTTATCAGCCAGCGTGAAGAGTTTGAAACAGCGCGCGATAGCATCCTGGTATGGCTAACAGAGATGGACCTGCAGCTGACCAACATTGAGCATTTCTCAGAGTGTGATGTCCAAGCAAAGATAAAGCAACTTAAGGTAAAGAAAAATTGAGTAGTTATAGAAGGAGGGATGAAAGAAGGGATAAAAACATGCCATGGTGGAAAGGAATTTAAGAAATGTTATCCAGAAATGCAGCCTGATATGGTTCCTTTACTTGCAGACTGAGACTTCAACCTCAGGAGTTATGGGCTATGTCAGGTTTCAATATGTACTTTTCTGTCAGTATAAAAGATGTTTGAGCTGTGAAAAATGTAAAAAGAAAAACCAAGGATGGTAGTGTGATAATCTCCTTTCCCTCATCCAAAGAGGAAATGTTAATAAAAATTACTTACATTAAGTCTCCATTACTGCTGATATCTAATAACTTATATATTTGTCAACCATTTCAGCATCGGAAAAATCATTATCTGGAGAGAAAAATACCAAATGTCACATTATCCAAAATTCCACCGTCTTAGGTTACTGTTTTAGGTTTAGCATCTATGTTCATTCTTTCAATTGGTCATGGGCATGGCTTATTCAGTCTTTCCAAAGACAACAAGTGAGGAATGAGATGGTAAACTATGAAGTATCAGTGGGTTTGGCTTGAAATACTGTGGAATGCTAAATTTAATTGCTCATTGTTGCTCATGACAGAATATTTGGAACAATCCCTGTTTGTTGCCCACGCCATTCTTTCTGTAAAACTCTTTAAGATTTGCATTCTTAAATGCCCAGGTTTTTGCCATGTTGATTTTGTTGATAAAGCATGGGCTTTTCTTTTACTCAGGCTTTCCAGCAAGAAATTTCACTGAACAACAACAAAATTGAGCAGATAATTGTGCAAGGTGAGCAACTCATTGAGAAAAGTGAGCCTCTGGATGCAGCAGTCATTGAAGAAGAACTAGATGAACTGCGTCGTTACTGTCAAGAGGTCTTTGGACGTGTGGAACGCTATCATAAGAAACTTATCCGCCTTCCGGTGTGTATATTTACATATATGTTTGTTTGTTTTGTTTGTTGCCATTTTACAAATATGAGAATGATGAGAGAGAAAGATCTTGAAGTGAACTAACATAAAACTTGCATAACTTTCCGAAAGTCCTATGGTGAAATTTTGTTACAACCCTGACCATCTGCCTCCCTTCATTACATGCTGTTTGTGTCCTGTTCAAAGAGCAAACTCACCAGATCTGGAATTTCTGTAAATAAAAATCCATGCAAATTGGAGATTTATAAAACTTTATTCCTGTGAGTACCAAGTGTGGTACTGGCAATAGAAACATCTCCCTGCACTGTCAGAGAGTTTGATGAGCAGCTTTGTGAGTTTGGGATTTTTTTTTTTAAAAGACAGTGATAAAATGATTCTCTACATGACTGGAGATGGAAATTTATCTCCAGAACTGAACACACAGAGGAAAAACTGGGAGGAAAACAATTGTTGGTAGCTAAAGTCCTACTGAAAGAAAGGAACAAAATCCAGGGGTTTCGAAATATGAAAGAACATTGTGAGAGCAGTGCTCATGATAAAGATCACTTATGCTTTCTATGAAGTGATTCCAGAGCTTTGTCTAACTTGATATTTCCCTTGCAGTTGCATCATTAAAAGTCTGGAGTATTTGCCTGATATGAGACTTTTTGATGCCTTAAGTAATTAATATGAACTGGCACTTTGATCTTTTCTATTGCTTTGGTTTTTTAGTACACCTTAAAAATAATGAAGGGAAAGGGCAGAAGAATATAAAATGAAAATCACATCGATGTGATTGTCACCTAATGCTGCTTTATTTCACTGACCCAGGCTGTCCATGCAGTGCCTGTGCACGTTTCATTGATGGGTTCTGTTTGCATTGTGCTTCCAGCTAACAGATGACGAACATGACCTCTCTGACAGAGAGGTAGATCTGGATGAATCAGCAGATCTCTCTGACATACGCTGGCATGACAAATCTGCGGACAGCGTTCTCTCCCCGCACCCCTCTTCCAATCTTTCGCTGCCTCTTTCTCAGCCGGTGAGAAGTGAGCGATCAGGGAGAGATACCCCTGCGAGTGTGGACTCCATTCCCCTGGAGTGGGATCATGACTACGACCTTAGCAGAGACCTGGAGACAGCCGTTTCACGGGCATTGCACTCTGAAGAAGATGGAGGACAAGAAAAGGACTTCTACCTGAGAGGAGCAGCTGGTATAGCAGGTATGGTAGCAAACTGTGTGTTCTGTTTTCTCCGAGTAAAAAGAAGCAAATAATACATGTGAGATTTCTTGGCCAAGATTCTCATGGAAGAGTGTTTTAAATAGCCCCTGATGACTTTAAATAGCACTTCCTAAGTGATCTCAGTGGCCCTCTGACCTTAGGCACAGTGATGGAGTTTCCTGGATGATGACAGCCCTGGAAAATGGCAAAGGCGTATATGATATCACAGGGAATTGGCTGTGTAGTTGTGCTTGTGGCCTGCCAGATGGGATATGTCATCTGTAACAGCACTGCATTCTAAGTTATTCTGACTAGAAGAAACTATACTGGATATGGCAAGAAGTGCAGAACAAACTGATGAAGAAATGATGCGGGAGAGATCCACAGATAAAATCATCAAGTGTTTAAGTAAATCTTAACTCAGTCCTTACCCAGACAAAACTTCAGCAACTGAGTGTTTAGTCGGAGGTGGGATCTTGGGTCTTGCTCTCCAGTGAAGTTAGAAATCCTTTCTAAATGTGTGCATTGTGTAATAAATCTTAACAAGTGAAAGTGCCAAGATGCAGCTAGTAGTGGGCGAAGATATACTAGTGTATTATACTCTGATCTTGTGGCTGCCTTTTGCTTTCCAGGTCATTACTGCGAAAAAAGTCAGGTTTGCGTGGATATTTACTTTGTAGCAGCCTCCGTGTGTTTCAGTCTTCCATCTTTTTGCTTCTCCAGAGAGGATGTTTGCTATTGGAAGCATTTATATATTCTATCCCTTGGAAAGGACTCCTGCTGTAAGGAGACAGCCATTGCTGACCCGTCAATTTAGACTGTGCTTTTATTTTTTCAGATGTAGAGATCCCTGAAACTCTTGAGGCCTATGTAACACTCACAGAAAACGCCCTCAGAAATATCTCTGGTAGGCATCATAAAAGACTAAGCATAGCCAGATGCAAATGCCACAGTGCAAAAGCATAACCTCTTTCTCTTCTCTTAGCATCTGCTATCTTTTCACAACTTACAAGATAAACATTTCTTACATGGCAGCATTGGCATCTTAACATAAAAGTATCCTGCTTTACTACTGTGCTTAAAGGTATCATTATGTGCATGGATGAAACAAAGATGTTTGAACTATTAGCCCTCCCACCTTGGCTAACTGGACTAAACTGACCTGACTGGTCTTTATTCTTTGAGGTCCCTCAGTGGGTCTTAATACATTGTTACATCCCTGAGGGAAGGGTATTTTCAACAAAGGTTAAGGCAGAAGGAAAAATTATAGAGCAATTCCTAATTTTTCAGGTTTGCATTTATTTTTTTAATAAAAAAGGCCACAGGTTGGATTATCATGTAGATACACACTTTTAGGTTAGTTTTAGTTTCATGTGATAAAAATGTGAAGTTGAGGTACTGTAGTCCAGTGTCTTTATCATAGTCCTGTATATTGGAATTTTTTTTTTCTCATTATGTTTTTACACAAGATTAAGCCTATTGTTTCATTTGTTAGATTACACTCTTGGAGGGAGTAAATGCACTTGCAAATACATTTTCTCATGATTTCACAGTTCTCCTCTATTTAAATAATTACTTAAATAATTGCAAATCTGAAATAGTAAACGTTGAAGTCTTGGCATCTGTGACACGAGCCTCAGGTCCACTGTCCTTTTATGTATTCCCCAAATTAGTGAAATAATATTATAATTGATTAAGGGTATAACTAATACCAGTACTTACGGAAAATTTGTTTAGTTTTCTGGCCTGTGAACATTTTGAAAGTAGTGAGGGAAAAGCAATATTGAGCACTTTGTCCTGTCCATTTGAGGTGAGACAGTGTTTTACATGAAAAAAATATTAATCATCCAGGAGGTTCCATTTTCTTTAATTAGACGGACAGAAGGCTCTCCTTTTCTATGCATGTTTTTAATTGTGTCTCTATGAATAAATTCAAACTGTCTTTGTAAACAGATGGAAGTCAACACAGTAATAGAATATGGATAAGAGGGATCTCATGAGGTCCTCTAGGCTGCAGCCTGCTTCACATTAGAGTTGTCTGTAGCTAATTCATACCACAGAATTCAGCTGACCTCTATAAGGAAATTACAAGATAATCCTGCTTCAAAAACATAGGTATAAATTCCAAATGGCTTGAATGAATAATACCATCTTGCAGATATGTTAAGCATAGTCTTTTGTCAAGTATCTAATTGGAAAAATAGTATACATTTTTTTGCTTAGTGTGGTTGCCTAAATCAGTCATTGACTACTTGCTGCAGGCCTTCAGGGTGCCCAGTCATCTAAGGATTTTGAGAATATGATTATAACAGCATCACTTTGTATTTGTATGCTGCTTTTAATCTGTAATATTGTATGCAAATAGGATCCTTTCATGGAGATTGAAATTCCATTGTTTTTTAGTGGAGAAAAGTAATACAAGGAGAAATTAAGATAAATTTTCTCATGGATTTAGGTCATACAAATGGGCATTTGGGTTACAATGTTTTATTTGAGAGTGTGAAAGGGAGCAAGGTGAGGTTGGTGAGGTTAATCAGTGAGATTGGAGTATGCTTTGCTGAGAACTTTCCTCTTAAAAGAAGGTGAGGCATTCAAGGTGGGAAAGAAGTCCCTTCAGAATAATTTACGAGCCTGCTTTAAACTGTGGATTGTTTGATAGTATGCTTATGGCAAACACGTTCACTGGTGTAGTCCTCTGAAGGTTGCTAACACCCTCTAACATAACTAGTTACCACTTCACTTTGACATTGTACCACTCATACTACTCCAGCCACGTTTCTCCTTTACTGTCTCATCTAGATAGTATTCCTGATATCTCTTCTGCCTGGGCAAAGAAAAGAAAAACCTTTTGAAAAATTTGGGTGACTGTCACTCTCTTTGGTTTTGATACAGGAGAACCTGGAGCCCTGGAAGCACGTATCCGACAGCTGGACAAGGCCTTAGACACCAGTCGTTTCCAAATACAGCAAACAGAAAACATCATCCGCAGCAAAACACCTACAGGACCAGAACTCGATTCCACTTACAGAGGATATGTGCGTGTATTTTGGAGCATAAGTCAAATGTGCACTTTAAGCTTAGCTTTGCTATTGAAAGAAATATAGCTGTTTCAACAAAGCAGTTAACTATAACTGCTTCTCAAACTTACTCATATGGTTACTACCCTTAACCACATGCTATTGCTGTTTATGTTATTAGTGTGTTTATAATAGCATAAGATTACAGGAACATGACCAAGAAATTTATTTTCTTAAATTTTTGCAGATGTCCAAAATAACTTCCTCACACGTTTTTATCCGTCTAATGACAATACCCTTGTCTGAAATCCCTCTGCTTTTAAAAGCATTTTGTAGAGCTTCAGGCACAGTATTTATCTTGCTAATGAATTAGAAACATGCATCATGTAAGCAAGGTTGCATATGTGGAATTCTTAATTAAAAAGCTTTCTCAAAAAGGTTTCCCGGAAGAAGAATCTTAATATAAGTCACTCAAATAATTTTAGTACAGACAAAATTTAAAAATTAGCTGCTTGGATGCATAGTAATATTTCCACATTTAGGTTAATTTTCTTTATCACATCTTCTAGTGTTTTTGCCAGTGTTTTAACATTTAGAAAAGATGGCACCTAAAGACATCTAGTATGATTTGGCATAGTTGCACTGAGTTATTTCTGTTTAGTGTGAACTTAGACTTTAAGCCTTTATCTTCTCCACATACATTTTTTTTAATAGTATTAGGACATGTTGCTAAAGTAATAGATTTTTCTCTTCACACTTAAACTTACTTTTGGAAATTTGTGGAAGTTGCATTGTAATTTGCATTGTCCATGCAGTTAGTCCTGTACAGTGCATATTGAAAAGGGATTTTTTGTTTATTAACACAGATGAAATTACTAGGTGAGTGCAGTGGAAGCATAGACTCAGTAAGAAGGCTTGGAAATAAACTGAAGGAGGAAGAAGAAAAATTATCAGGACTTATTAACATGAACAGTACTGAAACACAAACAGCTGGTAAGTAATATTTAGTTCATTTGATAAAAAGCAATTTTGAAAAGAAGCAAACATGCAAAGTTTTTCTAAATAAACACTTGGTATTATTTGCTGACATAGAGATTTTACATGACTATCTATTACCATGTTCTGTTTAACATCTTTCATTAGGAATAGTAAGGAATAGTAAGTGTTCTTGTATATCCCCTATAAAAAGATTAGGCATAGAAGTGCATTTTAACAACCCCTTCATATCATGAGGCATAACCCTAAGCCCTTCAGAAAGTCCCAATGGATGCAATGAATTTTTTTTATAAGTTCTCTGATGAAAAATGTTGCTGATGTTGTACAAAACACATAAGTCAGCATGTATTTCCTCTAATAATTACTTTTACTTCTAAGATTATCTACCTACAGTAAAGAAATTTATTTTAGTGTCACCTGGTAAAAGTATTCACCTGACAAATTTTAAACATCAGCAGTAGAATAGGAAGTATTGCATTGAAAAAATATGGATTTATTCCATACTGTAAAGGCATTATCTCCATTCCTAGCTTGGCAAGATATGCTACCCATGGAGTCTCTTATTTTGCTGTGAGTTTGGAGGGTTTCTTGAATTTTAAGTTGGTGGAATGATGCAATTGTCCTTCTGCCATAGCATTTCAAGATAACTAATAGAAGAAATAGCCCCTAATTTATTTATTTTTAGTGCAGGTGTTTATCCAATGCAGCAGCAGTAGCTTAGGCAAATGTAGTGAGGTATGAGCATTAAATTATGATATGCACAAATACCAATGAAAATAATAATAAATATGTGTGGTTAGTTAGACGTATTCAGATTTCTTACGCTAATTTATGATGGGGGTTTTTTTGCCATCATAACCTGTTCTAGAGACTTGCATGTATCAACTTATTTATGTTCATAGAAGTCTGACATTACAAAGTGATAAAATTGCCTGATGACTAGAATTGTCCAGGTTCTTCATTTGTTCTCTCCAGCATCACTTTCTTCAATCTAACTTAGTTTTCAACGTGCTTAGAGTTTGCAGCATAGAGTTTTTGTGGAACATGTTTTGAACCATATTCAACTGATGCAATTGTATGTGTGTAGCTAGTGCTTTTCTTTTTTTACCTTTTTTTTTTCTTTTATTTAATTTGGTGTTTGTCATTCCAGGTGTAATTGAAAGATGGGAATTAATCCAGGCTCAAGCTCTAAGCAAGGAGCTGAGAATGAAGCAGAACCTTCAGCAATGGCAACAGTTCAACTCTGACCTTAATAGCATCTGGACTTGGTTGGGAGAAACTGAAGAGGAACTGGAGAAGCTTCGCCGCCTTGATCTCAGTACTGACATACAGACTATTGAACTCAGAATTAAAAAACTGAAAGTGAGTTTTATTTCTCTTTTCCATGAGTTACCTTGTAAACCTGAGTGCAGCAGGTATATTGAAGAGGTTGCCAATAATTGCATCTGGTTTGCTCAACATAGCAGGCTGCTGCTGATAAATAAAGTAACTGGAAAAGTGATTTTCTTATTTGCCTTTTGGCAGAAAAATGTACCACTGGCAATCCAAATAAAGTTTTGAAATAGTAATTCAGTGGAATTCTGTAATTCCATAATGTACTGATAACTCCTGATGTCAGCCAACCTCATGAAATTAAAAAAAAAAAAAAAAACCACGTACCAAGTTAAATCAATTCTCTTCTACTCAAACTGGTAACAAAATATCTACTTCAAAAGAAATGTCTCACTGAGACATACTACTTTATGTGGAGGAAAGTGGAAGTCTATCCAGTGCCACCAGTACAACATAGGAAAAATTTGGTGTCAATTTGCAGCATTCCTTTTTCTTCTCTTGTCATCTCAAGTTCATCAGAATCTGAATGCTACCCTTTTCATCTCTCTGGTGGTCCACAACTTCACATTCGGTTACTAGTATCGTATAAGCATGGGCACAAAAACATGGGACCCAGTGTCAAAATGCACTGTGCTTCATGATAGGAATGAGGTGACCAGATAGTAAAGATCACTGCTTCCAGCAGTGATCCATCTAAAGCATGTTAATGTAATCCAAATATAGCTGCCATAAGTACTACAAAGGTCACTGTGACATTGTTCTTTTACATAAATGCTGTAAAGTAGGTGGAAAAGGGGGCATTTCATAAGAATTCAGTTCTCACCCACTCTTTGAAAGCCCATTAGTACCCTCCAAACTGAAAGAGGTGGAGTTTCTTTTGTGGCTTCCAGTGTAAACGGATCAGTTTATATACAAGTTGTGTTTCTATAAATTGAAGTTGTTTATACTCTTTGTATGTTTTCTTTTCTCTCAGTAAAAGCTTTTATTTTAAAAACTGTTGACAGCAGTTTCCACTTGAAAACATGTTGGTTTTTATGTTTATCAGCAAAACTGAGACATGAGGGCAAAAGTTTTATTGTGAGCTAAAGTACAGTTGTCTTACATGTCTTTAAATTTTGTTGAACCTACTCTGTCTTTAAAATATCTGAAACATGAGCCAGACCTTTAAAATTCGACTATGACTTCAGGCCTTTAAGACTTTACAAGTTTAATTGGATTGCTTTTGTTTATGCTCACAGTTAAATTTTAGTAGATGCTAAAGAATGACCATTTTTAGAGTCACAGAGTGAGCACAGAAATCTCATATCCAGAGTCAAGAAACTGTTACAGTAAGGTACCTTTCTGCAGCTGCTGATGGCAAATCATTGCTTTTTTGTGGTGCCTTCTCTACTTGATTTTTTCTGAAAGTCACATGTTTTACAAGTTTCCATTGCTTCCTCCCCTGTCCCACTTTCTCTTATCGTCAAGGAGCTGCAGAAAGCAATTGATAACCGCAAAGCAATCGTCTTATCCATCAATCTGTGCAGCTCAGAGTTCACTCAGTCTGACAGTGAAGAGAGCAAGAAGCTTCAAGAACGCCTGTCTCAGATGAACATGCGCTGGGAGCACGTATGCAGTATGATTGAAGAGTGGCGCAACTCATTGCAGGCTGCATTAATGCAGTGCCAGGTGTGTATTGTGCTTATTTTAAATTGACATTATCCCACACTTTGAAAATATAAACCATTTTGTTACTGCTCATTATCCAGTCTGAAACTTGCCCATGTAAGCCAAAATATGTCTTCTGCCTTTGTTCTTCTGAAAAATACACCTGCACTACGTGAAACATGTATTTCCCGCCCAAGATTTTCTAAATATGTCCTCTTTGGAATAGTATCCTAGTATTTTACTGTACACTTCCTTTTAACTTATTTAGCTAGTAGGACCTATCAGGGGATAAATTAAAAACCTGAATTTGACTGGAATATTCTGCTACTTTATTAAAATTGTCACTCATTGCTTGCAGGATTTCCATGAACTGAGCCATGGTTTGCTGCTTTGGTTGGAGAATATTGACAGAAGAAAAAATGAGATTGTGCCCATCGATCCAAACCTGGACTCAGAAATGCTGCAGGATCATCATAGACTCTTGATGGTAGGATAATAATCACCGCTTTTTCTCCCAAAACACATCACCAAGAAAAACACCTAATCAGATTTATCTTTCTCTTGAGGGTTAGCACTGTACGTTGCATGCTAACACAGAGCTGTGGGACCAATGTCAGTAACCAGCTTAACTTTGGAAGGAAACACCACTCACTTTCATTATTAGCCCAACTCATGATTTTAAATCTCAGGCAACCATTAGATTGCTGCATATCTTCCTGTCAGATTAGAAATTTGTATACCTTATCTTTGCTTTCCATTTAATTAATTTCAAGTGTTTGTCTTTGTGAGTTCTAGCTTTTTGGTTTTTTTTTTAACTGCTATTAAAAAAATGTGATGCTTGCCTTGGCAACAGCAAATCAGACGTGAACTCCTGGAGTCTCAGTTGAAGGTGGCATCACTACAAGATATGTCTTGCCAATTGCTAGTCAATGCTGAAGGCAAGGATTGTCTTGAAGCCAAAGAAAAGGTACACGTCATTGGAAATAGACTGAAGCTCCTCCTGAAAGAGGTCACACGTCATATTAAAGACCTAGAGAAAATTCTAGACATTTCAAGTAGTCAACTGGTAAGTCACATCTTTTTCTTCCCTGCTGTTGGTTGGGCACATTTCACACTGTTTTGACTGTCTTTCTCTGATCGATGTTGTTGGCTCCTCTGTTTCTGTTGTTTGCAGTACTTACCAAGACTGTAAACTTTTAATCTTGAATATCATAAAGTTACCTTACACTTCATAATATAAACATCTCTTGTGATAGGGTGGGGGTTTTCAATTTGTTAATTTTTTGCTATTTTGTGTACCAATAATTATTGAATATATTGGTTTGTTTATCCTGCTGTTACTGAATCAGTCAACTGGTAAAGGATATGAGATAATTGCTCTAGTTTCAGTACTGAAAATCAGAGTGTGTCAGTTGTCATTGGAAAGGAGGATAATGCTCACTCTGTCAAAGAGAGAAAAAAAACATAAAATAAATTCTGTATTAGGATAAGAAGTCTGTCATATATGTCTCCTAAGCTTTGAGCTATACTCAAATCTTATTTTAAAATTGTCTTGTATCTCAGGATATTTGAGAGGGAATTACAGCAGTGTAGCAGTAACTTTGCCAGAACTAGCAGATACGATGATTTGAGGGTTTCCTTTAGTTTTTTTAAGTCTTGGATTAGCAAAATGCATAAAACATGAGAACTCATCTCTTCCCTCCTTCTAATGGATTTCTGCCTGTAAATTTCTTGGTGTTACCAACCTCTTTTTGTAATTAAAGACCAGTGGACAACAACTGGTTTTTCTCTGTATTGACTTTGGTAGAAAATATGTCACCTAAAAAAATTAAGTATTAACTACTTATTTGCTTTTTTTTTCCTTCAGGGCTGACAGAGAAAACATGTACTTGTAATGTCTTAGTCTTTTAAAATTTGGTAACAAACTTTAGCTTATTTGCCTTAATTTATTTTATTTGCCTTGGAAATAATTCTGATGGGATTTCACCGAGGGTAAAATTTTCAGTTTGCTTACCCAAAGATCTAGTTGCTGTATTTTTGAACTGCATTCCCTCTGAACTTTAGGAATTGTCCTCATGGTCCTCCGATGAATTAGACACATCAGGCTCAGTGAGTCCTGTATCTGGAAGAAGCACTCCAAGCAGACAGAGAACGGTAATTTCATGTCATGTATTTTCTTCCACCTCCTCGGTGGGAGCTCAGATGTCTTCAGCAGCTCTAGCCAGATGGGAGTCACCCCTTCTCACTTGTTAGGAAAGGAAATGGCATAAACCAAAACCAAAACACAGCTGCTTTCCCCAACCCTGCTGCATATCCCATCCTGCATGAAATCAGAAGTGGTAAATACTTTCTGAAACCAGGGCTGTCAGTGTGGTTGGTTTATCATGGTATGGCATGTCGTGTCTCTTGTATTTTGCTCTAGTGATGGCAGCACCCCAAAGTCTGGTCTTGTCTGGTATAATCAGTCCTCCATTTCTGTTTGGCCTTCTCTTCAGAGCTGCTTCATCAAGAATCTCAATAAGTTTTTTTGTCGTTTCTGATGCAGATTGCAGACAGTCTTATTGAGACTTTGGATGAATGGCTAAGTAGAGCTGAAGGGCATAAAATACTATTCAAAACAGCTAGTTGCACAGGACCTAACCAATGGCTATGATGGCAGCTCTGGAGTTGCCCATTTACATCGCTGGCACAAAATTCAAGAAATATAGCAATACATGCCTAGTACTTAACACTTCCATACTCTGAGCCCAAATTGGAACTGCAATTATTTTGTCTTTTTCTGCAATTCTGTTGGTTGATTACTTTGCTTTTTTCCTTAGTTCTTAAAACAGTCAGGTTGGTTTGGTTTTGTTTTATTTTTCCATTTGCACTTTTTTGTAAAGCCTCTGAGTTCTGTCTTGATAAATTTATTGCTCTTGAAATTGATTTATTTTTTTGATTTTTTGTTTACATTCACTAGTTTCCTTTTAGATGCTAGTATGAGAATGTAAAGGAATACTGGCTTTTCAAAAGGAAAAAGAATATACATCTTAACATTTTATTTCAGAGGTCAATGCTTTTGTCTTTTAAAATTAAATTTAAATAATTAATAAAGGCTCTGATATCACAGATGTAACTTAAGGATGCCTGACCATTACAGGAAATAGAGAAGTATTTTACCATAAAAGCTTGGTCTAAAGAGTATGTAGAACTATGATAGGTTTCATCTTAACATTTTAATAAGGATTTGTGTATCTCTAATTTTTTAGTGTTTATGTATGTGACTACTTTTTTTTTTCTTTGTCCATAATATGTAGCAAAGTTTCATTTTCATCCATAATGTATAGCTAAGTTGTAGGATTCCTTGGGTCTAGTTTTCAAACTTCTGGATTTTGCACCCACAGTCTTGAAGACTGAAGTGATACTATTTGGAATTTCATTGCCAAATATACTGATGCTAAATAAACAAATATTAATACAAAAAATATAGTCTGAATTATAAACATCTAACTGCATTGAATATTCCAGCAAATAGTTGTGAGTGCACATACAGTCATTTGGCCTTCAAAATTGTGGGGTAGAGGAGAGGCCAGAGTTGTCAAAGGAGGCCCTTGGACCTTTGTTCCTTGAGAATATTAATTCTGTACATGTGCATTTTGAAATATATATATTTTCACATATTCAACTTAATAAGATTTTCTCTATTTCATATTAGAAATTATTTGAGCTAAATTTGTAGTTATTTCTTTTTAAATCCAGAGCTATTGTTCCATAAACATAATGACTAAATTGTTATTTTTGAGTTCACGGGGTATGTTCCAATAATTTTCATACTCATCTAGATGCAAAGAAAAGCCAGTTTCCTTGGTTCATGGGTATTGGTCACTTCATTTGATTCTTTTTTTTTTTTTTTTTTATGTTTCCTTTGCTGCCCTTTTAATTTAGTTTCATCAGTAGCTTGTCTTTATTTGCCTGGACTGAACATTCTTCTTTCTTTACCCCCTGTTCATTGCAAACAGCCACGGGGCAAATGTAGTCTCTCACAGCCTGGACCCTCTGTCAGCAGTCCACATAGCAGGTACCTAATTCTCCTGGTTTCCGCACTCTGTTCTAGAACACCAAGAGGATGATGGAAATTGGCCGTGATTCCTCTCAGTCCACACCAACTTCACCAGGTGGTCAGGACTTAAACAAGTGAAAATTTCCCTTTTGTTGATAGTTTGACAAAAGGGGCTCTCAATTACTTCAAATGCTTTGTTAAATAGAAATACAGGCTAATCATTGGACATCTGTGGCTTTTGCTTCACAGAAGTCCCTTTTTTTATATGCCTGATCAGAGTGAGTGTGTGTTTACAGTCATGACATTTAATTATTATTTTATTTTGGCATGATTTAACAGAAAGGCCAGTAGGTTCATGGCAAACACTTTTTATCATCCTCTTTACCTCTAAATATTAAATTAAGGCAGGTTATAGGCCAGTACCATATTCTAGAATTTACAAAACCCACAGATCTGGATGAGACATACTAACATCCTTTTCTTTATTTCTTTTTTTTTTTTTCCCCCCTGAAATGTTTCGTTCAGTTTGTGGGTTTTCAGTACTTCAGACTCAAAAGTCAGAATTTGAGGTTACTGAGACTTGGGATCACTTTCTCTCCCCTCCTAAGACGACTGCAATGTAACATGCTAATATTGCCATGACTTGCCAAGTGCTTGCATCCATGTGTTGCTCCGGCAGGAGCACTTTCCCATCTCTCTCTGACCAGTAGAGAGCAGGCTTGCAGCTACAGCTTTTTGCTTTCCACCGTGTCTCCAGCAACCTGTCACCTCTGCAGCTAACAGTGCTTCTGCCTTCTTGTTGTTGTCAGTGTGATATGTGTACCTGCGCTCTTTCACTGATCAGTTTACTAGCCTCTAGAATTCTGAAGTTAAAAAAAGGTAATGAGCAAGCCAACGTGTGTAAAGAGGACATATTTTGCTATTTCAACATCTTATGCATTGCTAAAATAATCAGAAAGCATGATTAAAATATATTTGTTCTTATTACATCTAATAATAAATCTCATTTAACCTAAATCTCATTTATTCTCTGCATATTAAAAACTACCTAATCAGTTTTTAGAATAAGTCCTATTAAAGTGAAAGATTTTATGTTGGAAAGAAGAAGATGCTACATTCAATACTAAATGAGCGATAAACAAGCAGACAAAAAAATACCTTAAGAATTTTCTTAGGAGCAAAATTAATAATTTATTCAGCAAAGTTATTCTCAAATATAAATGAAATAAAGAGTAAGACTACTTATGTAGATATTTACATAAACACTTCTTTAAAAAAAGTTTGCTTTACAGGTGTAGTTAGTAACTGTGAGTAAAGTGGCATAGTTGCAAAACCACGTGACAGACTGATATGTGACTGATAGAACTGAATCTTTTACTGCTTCCACTGACACTAAGAAGCTACCTATTTTTAGGGATTTTTTTCCCTTTGAAACATAAGGAAACTACATAGAAAGCAGGGGACTCCACTTTCCTGTCTGATGGAGAAAAATGATTTTTCATTTCCAGTCTGCTATGAAACTTGGCATTTTGTTTCTTTTGGGGAGGGGATAAAGGGAGGAGAGGGGCTTTACTCTGCAGCCATTAACATCTAGGAGGAGTGGAAGATGTCTTTGACATATCAGCATGCTTGCACTAGCACCGTTGTCCTCAAGAAACATATTGTGTGTGCTTTTCCACTCTCCTGTGTAATCAAACCACTTCTGCCAACCTTTTGAGGTTTCTGGTTTTAGGTGCGAGCCACTGTCTCAAAGAGCAGCTAGCAGTGCTTTGCAGCTTTGAGATCAGCCTCTGTTCTAGCAGTGGCATTCAAGTCTTTCCAGCACTGTTTATTAACACATCTTGTAGCAGTACAACACAATGTTCAATTTGTAATTCAGACAGGCATGGAATATGAATGAGTCACTGCTGAATAGGAAACTTTAACAAATGCGCAAGCCAGACAGGTTGTGGTTGATGTATAATGTGGTTTTAACTGATAATGCAGTACAAGCTGTCACTATGTTCTTTAATATTTTGACACGCCTCTGATCAGAGTACCTTGTGTTTGATCTTGCACTGGATCAGCAAACCCTGTTAGAGTTCAGTATGAAGGAGAAGTGAAGTCAATCTTGAAAGGTCTATCACGCAAGAGGTTTTGAAGGAAAGTTTATCTAAAAAATTAGAGAGACCATAGTTTTGTGTATAACAAGTGTGATATATCATTTTGCCTTCTCCATTATCACAGTAAAAAAACAAGCATACGTAGTGTGATGCTAAGCAAGGTACAAGCTTAAACACGATTTTACATTGTGGATTTAAGTAAAATCTCATCCAAGAGGTTTTAGTAATCATGTGCTAAGTGGGAAAAGCAAATCCAAGAAGCAACTCATCTTTCCTCACCAGTTTAATAGAGCTGTCATAAGGGTAAACCTGGATCTGTACCTGTGAATTTTTTTGAAGTGATTAAAATGTTAAAAGATTGAAATAGCAGTTCAATTTGCTCAGGGGTGTTTACATTGTCTTGGTGCCATAGCGTCAGCCTCCATTTCCTGCTCTCCGCAAGCCTCCACAAATGGCTTTGGATCTTTAAAGGTCATTTGCTGTTCCTGGAGCAGACCAAGCCACAGCATTCTCTTGATCTTCGCCCATAAAATGGCAGTCATTGCCACACAGTAGCTCAAACATGTGTTTTGGGCTTGGCTTGCCATGTTTTTTTCTCACTGTTATCTCCCACACTCTCACTTAGACCTTGTTACTTAGACTTCATTGGATTCATCCACTATTTTTTCTGTTCAAAAAACCAATCCTATTTGGTATTTGAAAGACCTCTGGTATTTGAAAGACCTTCGGCATCTGTCATCTTACAGATGAAATTGACTGTTCTTATATTTTGTGCAGTAGTCTTTTCATAAAGATATTAAATTAAAACTCATTCTTGATTAACTCCAGTAATAACATCCTCCTAGCCCAGCAGTGCCTCTTTCAATGTAAACCTGTTGTCTGCATTCAATTAGTCACTTACCATTAAACTCCCTTTATTTATTCCTATCAGCTTCACTTGAATGATAAATTCCTTTTTGAAAATCTTTCAGATACATACTGCAATACAGATAGGTTACTTCGACCATATATTCCTTGGGAAAAAAATATCAATCATCTTTAAAAGAAGGTTCTCCTCTGAGCTGAAATTAAAGTTCACTTTGACCATTCTGTCTGTAGCCTGATAAATTAGCCTCTCGTCTCTTGAAATGCTTAGAAAATAGTTGAAAAGAGTTCCAATATCACTTGCATTAAAAACTCTGAAAGTAAGGGTAACTACTGCTTGCACTTAGGTTAATATATGAGGTTTCTTGACATTAAGAAGGTTACTGTTGGTCAGGTCTGCAGCTGTGCTTCCCTCTTTTATCTGCTTACTAAGAATTGTGTACGGAGTGAGTAGCAGATGGCCTTACTACCTTCCCTCCTTACAGTGTGACTGTATGGGGGAGCAGTCAGAAGAGAGACAGCTAAAGAGGCAAGCTAAAGGAGATGAAATTACATTTTTCTCCAAAGTGGCATACTTCAGCTTTCCCTTCTCCTGCTAGACTAAATAGGAGTTCTGGTCCTTAAGAATAGTGAATCTTTTTTATTAATGATGCATATTTTTAACCATCTCTGCTTACCAAATCCATTAAACACTCTAAGCCAAGCCATTCCATTTTTCAGCCAATTATGTAGATGGCAGAGGTGTACCTGCAATAAACACAGGCAGTACAGCACTCATACATTTTATAACTCCCCCTCTTTTTTGCAGTGTTTCATTATTTGTTTGTTTAATTGTTTCTGTGCAGCATTATTCTTCAATACCCTACTTCACTGCAGAAAAAGTGGCTTGACATGAATTGTTTTAATTTTTGAAAGAAAGTTTATGTTCCTTGTTGAGTTCAGCCATGCAGCTTAAACATACCATTCTCTCTTCTTTTTTTGGTAAAACACAAAGCAAAAGTGCTGGATTGTGCTGCCAAAGTCATAATCAAAAGACAAGAAAAATTAGGTGCTAACTTTGTGTGTCCCCTTTTGATTCCACTTTTTGGAAATTCACCTTCTGACATACAGTGTTGTCCCAGAATAACTCTGAGGCAATGAAAAAAATTGAGACGTCACTGTTTATCAAACAGCAGTTACCAGCTGCAGAAATCTAGCCTTTTTTTCATTGAGATTAACAACATTTATAGAATGATAGCCTTGTAAATAGGTAGACTGTGCAATCAAATGCTTGGAAGGTAATTAAGCACTCCTTGTTCCCTTTGTTCCTACCTCAGTCCATTAACTTTCTGTCTTGGCATTCTCAGACAGTAAAAGTCCTGATCTAATTGAACTTTAATATGGAATGCTCTGATGCTGTTAAATGTGCCATATCCTTTCAATATGTTCTTTACAATACATGATCTTACGTTATGCGATAAGCAGCTTTCCACCTGGGCTACAATAGCATGGTTTCAAACAACACAAGGTACAGTATTTTGATCATCGCTCCTTCCCGGGCTATTCAGTTCAAGTTAATAATTCAGCATACTTGAGTGCTGGTCATCTGAACTTCACCAAATCTGTCTGGCTTTGTGGAAGTCTTCACTGTGGGGTGCTACACATATATAAACAAGAAAAGAAATAATTCTTTTCTGAACATGTGGGAAGGAGATCCCTGCTAAGCCTGGTATTGTTTTGAAGAGGATATTTTAATTTTTGAATATTTCCTCAAACTGATTGAAATTTATCTGGGACACAGGATTAAAAGAAGAAGGAGAAGGAAAGGAAACACTAAGGAACCATCAATCCCTACATGCTTCAGTGGGCATCTCCCACTCCTCGTTATGAGCATTTTTATTTCTTAAACTCTAGGAAACCATAGGTTTTCTGAGGCCTTGTAGTCATATGAACCATGTGAACATTTTATAGCAACAGGTCTAAGACAAAATTTATGGCATAATGTCTTAAACTAAGGGTTCTTGAAGCAAGTTATTTGAAGGTTCTGAGTTCTTCCACTTTTGGCTAGTGCTAAAATACAGTACTTTTCCATGCACATTGAGACCATCAGATTTTCTCTTTCATACTTAGTCTTTTTAGTCATTAACTTATCTCAAACCTGTCGTCTGTATATTGAGCTCTTGAGAGTTTCAGCCAAAAGAAAAATGTGAAATTTATGTCTTTATCCTTCCTTAAAATAATAAATTGGATTTTTGTGCTTAATTTGAAGTATCCCTTTGAAAATATTTTTGTTAAATCACTCCTGCCTCATAGACCCATGATAGACGCGTGCCATTTCAAGTCAGATCCTTTGATACAGGAGAGAAAATCACTTGGAAGGTGATGGTGTCAAATCAGTTGAGCAGATAGATTTTAACTGCTGATTCTGTGCAAGATTCAAAATACAATGTACTTTGTAGAGAATGAGTCCCCATTACCTGCATATTGGTGTATTAATTAACTGAAGATTGGTGCAACTGGATCTCATTGCATTATGCAATATACATACACAAATGTAGCAACTTCTGCAAACCAAATGCAACTGCCATTTTAAAAGACAAGGACTCCTTTTTAGACAGCATGTACTGAATACCTATGACAGGTATGGCCCACCTTTTATTTTCCCCTTCTCTATAGCACAGTACTTTAAGTGGAGATCTTCCCCATAATTAACGAAGGGGCTATGGGGTCACAAAACCCCTTCTGTTGTGATCATTTGGTGTTTTCCTACCCCATGTAGAAATATGGGGTCTCTTAAGAGTATTAGGAAATGGAACATGCAGTGAAAAATACCTCTGCAGTTGTCAATCTAAGTCTGTACAAATGTTGTAAAGCAGCCTTCAGGGAAGGTTGAGTGCTCAAAGGCAACCTCTGCTTTAGTAATGTTTTAGTGTATTCACCTGTACATCTTCTTTTCTCAGGTCCACAAGAGGTGGCTCAGGTTCCTCCCCTTCTGAGGCTGGGCCAGCATGGTGGCGCCCATCCTTCTTCCTCAGAGTCCTCAGAGCTGCTCTGCCACTTCAGCTCCTCTTGCTGCTCCTGATCGGGCTGGCTTGCCTGGTGCCAATGACCGAGGAGGACTACAGCTGTGCTATGGCAAACAACTTTGCCCGCTCTTTCCATCCCATGCTAAAATACATGAATGGTCCTCCTCCATTATGAAGGAGACCTGTGAGACAGCAGGAGACTTGCTGGAGTACTAGCTGGGAGGCAAGGTGGTTTTAAAGTGTGACAAGATTCAGTGTGGCAGCTTTACCTGTCTGCTGTAGCAACCACTGTGCCCATATCTTTCTCTGCTGGCACTCAGCTAATAACGCATCAGTGTATCAGTATCAAACTGCACAATGTATTACCTGAGTAGCATCATTTCAATACTCACATCCTGGGTACCAAAAAGGATGTGATCTGTGTGAGGGAAATGTCCTTCTGTGCAGAATTTGGGATCTTTTAGCCACTTTATATCCAGGTCATTGCCCTGTACTATGCATAGCCAAGGACTTGATACTGTAGATCCTTTCCCGTGTGCTGCCCATTAGCCAGTCTTTGTTAAATACCCTTTCAGTATCTACAGTATTCAAAATAACCAATGCTAAAGAGATTTTAGAGCATTTGTAACATACAGTTTTAAAGAATCTTGTATGGCAATGTATTATTCCCTGTTTCTGTTTCAGGCATGGTGTTCTAACTTTTGCTTTGGATGCACAAGGTGTAAATCTGAGAAGCACTTTTTTAAGGTTTAAAAAAATGGATGTAATAAATAAGATCGTAAAAGTTTTTATGAGGAAAAATGTTGAATGTCAAGTTGAAAAACAAAGAACATATTTATGTATGTACAGTTTGCTAAGCCAAGTTTTGTTTGTATTGATTTCTTTGCATTTATTATAGATACCATAAAATATTTTGTCTACGTGCTTTTTAATGACAACTGTGGAAACCTCTAAGTTTAGAATGAGATATGTATGATATAAAAAAAAAAATAGAAGACACACATATGCTGCACTTCTAAAGAGAATTAAAAAATGCTGTAACAAATTATTGGTATTAGGTATATGTTTGAATGAGAAAATCTGGAAAACTTGACAAATGATAGAATATGTGTGAGAGTATGAAATTAGAAATTCTGCTAATATTGAAAGCTGGCCATGTTTTGAATTAGTGATTCCTCACTTCAGGTTTTTATTTTTTTCAAACTGTCTCTTGAAGTTCATTCTCACCCCTATGTTGTTTCTCTGTGTCTGTGTGTTTATGTATGCACTCATGTGCAACCTTTGGCTGTTGAAGTTGTATCATTCCATACTCACTAAAGCAGTTTTCTACTGTGGGTGTACTGGAACCTTCATAATATTCTCCATAGCAGCTTAATACCAAGGTAGATGTTTATGTTTTACCCATAGTTAGTCTAGTGGAATATGCCCGAAACATAAGCATAAATAACAGTAAAACAGAACAAATTGAAGACTCATAAATTTTCCAGAAATACTGAAAAAAAACTCGCAGTCTACACAGTGGCACTTTGCCCAGTTTATCAGTCACAACTCTGCCAAAACAGGATTCTTTTCAGTTATGCAAAAAAAATATAGAACAGTGTTCCAAGTTGCTGCTCTTTAATAAGTTTTGGGTTTTTGAAGCCACGACAAACAGTGTGAATTTTTCTTTTGACTTAAATATTTTTACTTAGAATATATTGGCCTGCATAACAGAAATAAAAATAAAAAAAAAAAAAACAGAAGAAAACAGAAGCACATTAGTTGCTTTTACATAGAATTACTTTTCTGGAATATCATCGTTTGAGTTGTTATGAGGAGAGGGTGGTCAGAGGTAGAGTACCACAAGCTGAACTCCAGCATTTGGAAGAGCCTTTTCAGATAAGCATAACATTAACATTTTCATGAAAAGGCTTTTTTATGTTCACAAAGTATCTTCAGTGTCTGAACCCAAGTCTGGACTGACATAAGTATGGGTTCTTTTAAAGGCTGAGTTTCCTTCATTGCTGTTCAGAAACCATTCTAGGCTAGACTAGTATCCATACTCACTGATTCTGAGTAGACAAAGATAAGGAACACATCTTCGGGCTACGTGGTTAGGCTGTTACTTGCAACAGGCCTGACATGTTGCGTAAAACTGAGCCTTCCTCTCTTTTTTGATACTGATCTCTTTGGTGACATAACTCAATCAGTGGTAATCAATGCACCTATGTTAATAATTCAGTAGGTTGCTAGACCTGTTAGTCCAGGTCTGTGCATGTTTTAGACATCCTTTCACCAGCCAATCCCTGGGCTTGGTGGTTAATTTTTTGTTGAAAGGTATTTTTGTTTTCTTTTGAAAGAAAACACTGTAAAGAATAAAAGGACTAATTTAGGGAGAAATAAGGATCTTGGCCTGACTTTGTCTCCCATTTTCCAGCCAACTATTGGTGTTCTCATGGAAGTAGATGTTATCTAAAGCGCAGCAGATAGCTATGAGTATAAACTTGGGGAATAGAAGTCTGTTGAAGGAACCAGGTAAAAAGTCACTGGTGAGGCCTGTGTTAATTTCTTATACTGTGTAAAAACTGAGGGAGAAGCAGGGAGGTTTGAAAGGGGTTGGTTAGGAGGAAGAGGGAAGTACAAGGGAGAGCGGTCCATTTGAACGATGTTTGAATGATGTCTGTTTGTGCTAAGCCTGCAACCCAACATCTACCCTCTTTCTGAAACACATCACCTACTTGGGCTCTGCAGACATGACAGGCTGGTTTCTGGTAATGTACCTTGAGCTTGACTGCAAGGCATTAAGAAAGGCAGTACAAGAGCTGCCTAAGTCTGGATCTGTGTTAATGGCATGTGTTCAAGCATAGAGAAAGTAGACTCTGCATCTTGGGGAGCTCTGGTCAATACCACATTGTGTTTGTTCCTATTTTCTACTGTAGATAGATGCAGTAGCTTCTGTAGAGGTATAATCAACCCAGCAGCTTGACACACCTTGCAACTATGAACCTTGCTTATTGGCCTGTAGTCACCTCCAGCTATTGGGTATTTAAAAGCATAATGGAAACTGATTGCTGAGTGACTCCAGACCATGCAGTAATATCAAGGCATTATCTCATTGCTTATATTGGTAAGAATAAAAGATCGTCAGGACAGTTTGCTCTGAACTTACTGCATCTGTTTGTGGAGTTTCATTTGTGGACTGTGCTTTACAAAATCTGAAGGCAAGGCTGCAAAGTGATATTTAGAGATACCTGACAGTGGTAGGAGTACAGATGATCTGAAGTTGGCAGAACTAGTGTGCCCTTATTCCTCACAGCTGTGAGCATAATGATACCCATTACCTATCCCCCACTCTGTTCCAGCAGTGATAATAGCTTCTTTCTGCAACAGATTGATAGTTTCTTGCCACTGGTTTGCCACCTCTCCAGCTTTGCTGCAAATGCTGTGAAGATTTGCAGTATCACGTTCTCCTTCCTTAAAACTTTTTCCTGCAACTGGTTATTGAACAAGAACAAAGCCGCTGGGATTGTCTTATGAGCAATCATCCCTGGCCCTCAATTTGTGCTATTTGCGGTTGAGAAATCTGTTTACATCTGATAGTATCTCTCAACATGTTCATCACCATCATGTGCATCTGAATGTGTGCGTGTGCATGTGTTCAAAGGCATAACAGAAACTGGTTGCTCATAGCCTTCAAACTACAGATGCTATCAGGATGTAGCAACCATAGGAGGATTCTCGGAAATAAGATCAGAGTCAAATAGAAGTGCAGATTCTTAAGCAAAAGAAGAGACCATTGATCTTCTCACTTTCCTGCACTTCCCATATTTTATTTGGTGTTTAAAGCAATGGATTATGGAAAGGAAAAGAGCAGAAAATGCCACAGTGGGTTTTTTTTAAGCTGGATGGTCTGGTTAAAAATTTTTTCAACTCTTGTGGCAGTCAAATGAAGAATTCATCTAAAGCAGTGATTGCTTAAGTTGAGAAGGAAGGGAGGGGGTGGAGGGAGTAGGTCATTTGTCTTCTGGCTTGTCTGTATTATAGGCACAGAATTCCCTACATAAGGGAACTAGTCTAAGTACTGGGTGTTTTTAACCTTGGCAGCATGTTGTGAAATGCACTACAGCCAGCTGAATTCTATTGTTGTCGCACTCTTTGGCCATAATTAGAGGGACGTAGGTGTCAAGCCTATATTTGGGAGAAGTTATGTTTGTTTTAAGAATATTAAGAACATTTGAATGTTCTAATAATATTCCTCAATAAATAAATAAATAAGAATGATTTAGAGAATTGATGTGTCTTCCCAGAAAGCTGTAAATAAAAATCTGTGAAACAAGATAAAATGAAATTAATAACTTCTAGCTGAAGCACTGAAGATTTGTCATAGGCTAAGGCCTATTAAATGATAGAAATCTGAATTATGTTAAATACTTGATCTAAAAGCAGATAGGAACTGAAAGCTGTAACGTCTATTGTTCGGTGCTGCTTAATATATCATTCCAGAAATGAACTGGTCAAAACTGCTTTGTTGAGTAAGAATCTATTTAAAGACCTGAGACATAGCAAATGGATTTGACCACAGTGAGGTCTAAATAAAATACCGACACATCTAATTTTTTGGAAGAGAGAGGATGCTTGGATGTCCAGTTGTCCAGTTCTTGTATCAGAAGTGTTCTTGGTCAGGAGAGAGGTGTACCACAGAACTCTTCTGGTCAGGGATCATGCAGATGTAGATGTAGTTTGCACAAAGATTACTCATGTCAGGCTCCGCATTTTCAGGCACGTTGTAATTCCTGGGGGACTGTTATTATGGGTGTTGTAATTGTGTTTTTTTCCATTCCATTGTTTTTAGAAAAGATGTTTTTTTAAAAAGCAGCTGGAAGTAAAGCTACCAGAGTCCACTTTTTTTATGTAAGTGTTCATTAGGCTGTCCAAGAAGTGGAACGTTCATGTCTGTAGTGTTCCCTTTATAAACAACTCAAACATTGTCAGTGAGGCTCTCCTGACCATGTTGCTGCAGGTTAAAACACGTGGTTGCAATTTTGACTCCTTTGCTAAACTTGAAACATTGTGGAGGCAGGTATGCAGACCATGGGGGCAAGGGGAGAAAAAGCATGATGCTCTAGCATTTGGATTGAGAGAGAGAGAGAGAGAGAGAGAGAGAGAAAGATAGATAGATAGATAGATAGATAGATAGACAGACAGACAGACAGACAGACAGGCATTTTTGAGGTGTAATTCCTTTTCCTATTGTCAGATTTAATGTAAGTAAAAAATAATCCTCCAAGGGCAGAATGGAATTGAAACTTTTCTGCTTTCATACTAATACCTAAACTTTCAAGCCCTAATGTGGCTCTCACTGCAAAATGGACAGCGCCTTTTGCTTATCTCTGCAGTATAACATACTTGTTCACCTTTCCATGGATGATACAAGTTCTGAAGAGGTGAGTGAAAAATAAAAAGGAATCTGTCAAGAAGTGTGTCTTATGTCTTAGACATAATTGTCTGACATAAGTGTGTCTTATGTCTTAGACAGTAGCATTTAGTCTTTATGTGCAGAGGAGCTAAATATCTTACAGTCTGATGTGTCTTGCAAAATCTAGCTAAAAAATGCCTGAAAGCACAGCCTTTCCTCACATCCACATTTTTCACGTTTAAAATGGTAACATTCTGAAGTTGTGCACAAATGTGTAGGAATGGAAAACAGCAGGAGATAAATTTTACATCACCTGTATGCCTGCAGAAATGAAGACATTAGCAGAATGACACCTAAATCCTGGAGCACACAGATCTTAAATGGACGTGAGAGCTAGTTAGCCTTGCTCCTGCTGAGATAAGTGCCAAATGTAATTTTTTTGATGGTCAATTTTCCTGAAGACTTCATGACCATTTTTTCTTGAATTTCTGTGTCTGGAGGATGCCACAGTGAATGGTAATAATTGAAGCCTGACTGGGCATAAGAAAAAGCATGTACACAGTGCCCTTCCCTGGGCATTCTTTCTCTCTGAGCACACTGACAAGTGCTGTTTTACATGTTTGGATTTTCCTCTTCACTGCATGGGTGGTGGAGACAAGCAGTGTAATGCAGAGGAAAGAGATGAAAAATTTTCCAGCATAAGAAACAGCTGCTTCATGGGAAAATGGATATCCCTTTCTGGATAGGGAAATTTAAAAAAAAAAAAAAAATCTGTCATTTAATTTTGGGGAGTAAGCATGGCCATAA